TCTCAGCCAGTGAGTGGCCGGTCTGTATGTGGGATCCGAACCCTCGGCAGGAGCACCACTGCGCTCCCAAGCGGCGCACTGTAGCAGTGAGCCACCGGGCTAGCCCCAAAACAGGAAATACTTTAGAGAAACTATTATAACTACATTTAGGATATAAAGGAAAACATTCTCAGGATGAACAAAAAGATGGGAATTCTCAATAGAAAAACAAAGTATAAAGAACCAAACGGAAATTTGGGAACTGAAAAAATGTAGCATCTGAAAAAAAATTCACTGAATAGGATTAACAGCAGAATGATGACAGGAAAAAAATAAGTTAACTTGAAGACAGATTAATAGATATTGTTAAATGTGAAGAATATAGAGGGAAAAAGGTGGGAAAAATGAACCTAACTTCGAAACCCACAGGGCAATATCAAAAGATCTAACACACTTGTACATGTAAATGGACTCCCAGAAGGAGAGAAATTATACAAGTAGGGGGAAAAACTGCAGATATAATAGCCAAAAATTTCTCAAATTTGGTAAAAGACATAACCTTAGACGTTCAATGAACCATAAGCAGAATACAAAGAAAACCACACCTTCGCATAACAGAGTCAAATGCTAAAAATCAAAGACAAGAATTATGGTTTACACCTTCTTATATTTAAGATTACTGCCTTAATACAGGTTCTTAAAGGCTTAATTACACAACCTAAGAAAATCAATACCTATATCCTTCCAAAAATTCAAAGAGCTTCCCAAAAGAAATTCCAGTGTAGCTGAAGCATAGTAGGTATGATGAATAAGAGTGTAGGAATACACTCAGGAATAAGGATGTAGGGACGAGATAACATAGGGTGTTATAACAAGAGATGTTTATTGAATCAAATTGAATGTTGATTGGGATAAATCACTCATTAATTTTCTATTATTGTGCAATAAAACAAACCTGAGGAGTTAAAGGGAAAAAAAATGGTATTATAGGTGAGGAGTTTGGGATATTATTTTAATTTAAATAGAAAGTTGTTAAAAAGGTTTTCTGCAGAGGAGTGACTCAGTAAATGCACTTCTGAGTATTTACCTTAAGAAAATAAAAGAAACAAACTCTTAGCTGACTAAAGACATTCATTATGATGTCCAACACCATATGTGTATATTATAGAATATATATAAATGTATATGCATCATATTATACATATAACCAACAAAAAAGATTTAAATGCTGGCAGCCAAAAAAAAAAAAAGAGTTAAATATCCAATAATAAGAAATTAGGAAAATGTTTAACAAGTTATGATTCATTAAAAAAAATGAAATAGTATGAAGCTCTAAGAATGGTATTTGTGAAGACTGTCAAAACATGAAAAGTGTGGGGTTTTTTTAATTCAGTCAAAAGTAGAAAAGAAAACCATACGAGAGTACTTCAAAAAGTTCATGGAAAAATAATTATTATTTTTCAATTCTATTTTTCCACAAACTTTTTGAAGTACTCTTGTAGGTGTAACAGCTTTGTACCCTTAAAACATAAATATATGAATAATGATAAAAAGTTACAAAAAAAAAAGGCTGTGTTAGAATGGTAGAATTTTTGTTGCAAAATTTTCTATAACCATTGCCACATCATTTGAATTAAGAAAAATACTTTTCTATGCCACCTCCAAATACAACTCTCATCTTTGACCTGTAATAAATTAACTGAATTTCACTAATTAAAAAAAAAAAGAAATCTCTTTTACAAATCCAATTGATTCACATAATCTGGAGTTCCTATTGCTGTCACCAGCCAACACTCGAAGTGTAACAATTTTCTTTTTTAAAAAATAGCTATTTCTAAACCTAGTCCTTGCCTTTTAAATGACTCTATCTCCATCTTCTCTATTTGTTCTATAAAGTTAAACAAATTGAGAAGGTTTTACTCTAACGAAATGTTACCGGCATTAGTATACGTCCAGGACAGACTAGCTTTCTTACCCTTCAGATGCGTATTCTAACATCAGAGACAACCTGCCTCACCCAAATTCTTCCTTTCTTTCTCTTCCTTTGTCCTCTGTCTTTTCAAGGCTTTTTTCTAAGTCACCCTCCCCCTTTGACTGCTGTCCTCTCCCTTGCGTCACTCCATTATCCCCATTCCCAATACTCAGTATCACAGTTTTCCATATCGTATCAAGCTTGTGGTTCCCAGTACCTTCCCTAACCTGACTATTACATCTTATTAAAGCAGGGATTCCCAATTACATGTTATGAATAAGCCATGTGTGTACTAAGATACTGATCCCCTCAGCCCCTGGGGCAGCCCGGAGTGGCCTGGGGCAGCTGATGTTCCTAGGTAGCTTACACCTGACCTTAAGCAGCCCTTTTGTTTAGTCCTAGCACATCCTACAAATGTGGTAATTTTCTATGTATGCCATCATGTGAAAAAAAAGAAAATAATGAGAAGCACTGAGGCTTCACATAACTCTTAAAGGCTTTCTAATATATAAACTCTCAGAATAATTCCTATGGACTATTAATATTAAGCTAGACATTTTTATACTGAAATATAGATTTCTCTAGCTTTCTTTCCAGAGTACACCTTCCACTTTAGACATAAACCCTTCGAGGAAGCTGATGGTTCTCTCACAGCTGTTTGTATTGTAATGGCATACACTTTGTTCCTACCTTTAATAGTGGAAAATTTCAAAGGTATACAAAGGAAAAGAGAAAGGAATAATGAAACCCCACCTAACTATCACCCAGCTTGAACAATTAATCAATTTACAGATATTGTTTTACCTATAACACCACCCACTTTACCCTCCTTCCCCCAGAAGATTATTTTGAAGCCAATTCCAGACATCATATCATTTCAGCCATAAATATTTCAGCATGTATCTCTACATACTAAAAGATACTGTGCAAAGATACACATTGAAAGATACTGCTGGTTTCTGCATAAGTTCTTCTACTGGTGAGTCAGATTAAAGATATAAGCATTCCCCCAGTAAGCCATATAATAGTCATAGAAATTTATATAGAGAGAAAATATATAGAAAAAGTATAATTTTTTCTCTACTGTACTTCCTTATAAGTTTAACAACTCAAAAATAGAACTCTCAAAGAAGAAAATCAAGGAAAAAGTAGTCTGAATAGTTTCAATTGTAACAGGGTCATTGATCTAAGATCTTAGAGACCTCTAAGAAAGAGATGGAGAAAAATCACATACAAAAAAACCCTCCACCTCTTAGAGATAACTGACTTTGATACAACACAAGTTATTTGGTATGTGACAACACACTAATATTAATTATTATTATACATAAAATAATTCATGTAGCTGCATATTTTACAAAACAAATGCAATAACACTATCTTAATTCAGAAAATTTTGATTCAACAATCTTTACCTTTTGTTGGACTGAGATTCTGATCTATAAATCCTCTTAGTTCTGTACTGGAGGAAGTCAAACCAACCTGAATAAAATAGTTTTAAAAATTAAAAATAGGATCTTAAGTATTATATAATCACTTAAAAGCTATTTTATATCTTCCACCAGAGGTCCATATCAAATATTACAGATAGCCTCATAAAAGTGAATAAGTTATATCAACCATAGAAGTATTATTAAAAAGAAAATGTTGCCATATTGCTTGAAATGGGAAAAATATGAATTGTCCAGATTAAGATAAAAATTAATTAAATAATATTACTTATGAGCAGACCAAGATTTACAGATTTTACTGATGGGTTATTTGAAAGCAAGTAATGTGGCAGCTAACGAATGAATGTTTAAGTTGTAATGAAGTTGCTAATAGCTATATCAAAATTTGGTCCTCATTGCTGCCCTTAATTTTTACTGTTCTTAATCTCTACCTATGATGTCTGCCAACACTATCAAGTGTTGGCAACACTATCCTTACAAATCAAATAAAGACCATTAATACCACAGTGCAGAAGTGAAGTGCGCTAGCCTCAAATTTGACTGTTCAGGTTCATATTCTGGCTCACAAAGCCTACTAAGGTACGTGGCCTTGGTCAAGTCATGCAATTTCCTCATCTGTAAATTGGAGGGTGATACCAATGCTTACCAATTTAGGTTGTTATAAAGATTAAATGAGATAATTCATGTAAAGCATACAGCACGGTACGTGGCCTTGGTCAAGTCATGCAATTTCCTCATCTGTAAATTGGAGGGTGATACCAGTGCTTACCAATTTAGGTTGTTATAAAGATTAAATGAGATAATTCATGTAAAGCATACAGCACAGTACTTGGCACATTCTGCTCAATCCATGTTAACATTCATTACTGTTAGTATTATACTTGAGGGGCTACTTACACCAAGTGTGTTTAAAAATTCACCTTTAGATAGTTTATTTCATTTAATGTAATGTCCACTGGACTACTTGGCATCATAGAGCTAAACATGGTAGTATCATCACAAAGAGTTTTAAAAATTTATTATAAAGCCTGGAGTTTTAAAAAACTTGGCACAAAGAAAGCATCCAATAAATGGCTCTATTATTACTATTATACTATTACTGTTTTAAGCACTAAAGATTTGTAATCTTGCAACATTACAAGTTTGTAGTTTGGCACCTCAAACATTCTTTCCAAGCACTACTACACTGAAAGCATTTTTTAAAACAGTTTTACCAAGATATCACTGTCATATAAAAATTGTATATATTTATGATGTACAACTTAATGTTCTGATTTACATATACATGGGAAAATAATCGCCATAATCAAGCTAACTGACATATCCATTACCTTTACATAGTTGTCACTGTGTGTGTGTGTGTGCGTGTGTGGGTTGAGAAGATTCAGCTTAAGATCCATCCTCTTAGCAAATTAAAAGTATACAATACAGTATTACTATCATCACCATGCTGTACATCAGATCTCCAGTAATTTGAAATGATTTTAAAGCACACAAAACTTTATAACTTTATATCTGCACTTGTCTTATTTTTTAAAACTACCCAATGTTTAATGTTATGTGTTCTTCAAAAGCACTCATTTGATACTTTACAATTTCATAACGTAAGAGGTAATTATGTCATTATTTGGTTAATTCAAATGTTCTACTAATAGCTGTTTCTTTCTGTCAAGACGTATTTTACCAGAAATATTTCTATATATTTTTCATATCACAGACAAGTAATTCTGATGCAAATGTATCTCTGGCATCTAAAATCAACTTTTTATGACAGCAGCTGAGACTAAGACATCTAGAAAAAAGCTTCCTAATTCTATGTAGATAATGGTGCAGATGCTTACCTTCGTCTAGCTGCTTATAAATATTCCCTCAGAAGTAAAGTTAACCCTTTGCAATAAAATTTGCAACAAATAACTTCATGTTATGGCTCTCCAAAGTTGCTCAAACATTAATGTTAAATATTCAATCTGTTGAACATCTGTTGAAGAACCCCCCCTTCCTTCTTTCAAACTCTTCTGCTATAAAGAAACTTTTGTCGGTTTTACTTTAAAAAAGAAAGCAAATAAGGCAAACACAGCCTTTAATATAGTCCATGCTTGATACAATGTGATCATTTACTACATGTATTACAATAACTTCAAAAGGATCAGTGATATCTTTTTGTTATTATAAAACAATAATGGCAAAAACCTCAAAACCACATATTCACAGCAGAGAGAGTTCACAGTTACTGGGTTACTGTTATGCTTAAACACCTGCTCTTACTGTCCAACTTCTGCAGAGCAAAGTAGCAAACTAATTTGGAAACTTTTAAAGCATCTGTACACCCACACCTTAATAAGCAACAAATTATAATCTAAAAAGATAAAGGTCAATTGTGAGGTAATACTGTAGCTAATTCTGGTCTCACAGATGGATGGGAGGTATATTTAAAGCTTATGTATACACAACCAAAATCTATTTAATTAAAACTTCGAATTATGCATTAATTTCTGCTTTCATAAACACTTTGTAGTTTAAAGACACAAAGAAAAAGTACATTATTTGAGAGTAGAAAAAGTTGTTTAGGAAAGACATTTAAAAATATTAGCTATTCTTTCCTAATTCTACATTTTTAAAAAGGACCTATATTTCACTGAGCAAGAGAAAAAAGTGAACTCATGCTTCATGTTAAATGTTTTTGCTTAATCAAGTTATGAGAAAGGTCTTTTATCTGGGTATTCCTTTTTTTTTTAAAGTACTTTTTTAAAAATAAATTTTATCATGTATACTTAAGGTATACGACATGATGTTATAGAATACATATATGTATATGGTAAAATGGTTACTAAAGTGAATAATATCTGGGTATTCCCATGCTGTGCTGCATACTGTAAGCAGTCACTAAATGTCTATTGGATAAAAAAAAATCTAAGTCCAATTTTTAATAATTAAAACATATACCTTAATAATAACATTATAATTTCATTGATGTTTAACATTTCTGATTGACATAACATAAATGAAGCAAAACAGGAGTCAGAGTGAGATAATCTGTGCTCAAAGTTAAGCTCTTCCCTTCACAGTCAAGGTGGTCTTGAAATAGTCACTACAAAATGGGGATGATAATACACATGTGTATGACTAACTCAAAGAACTCCTTAAATCAAATTAAATAATTATGTGCATATTTTTTAATGGCAAACAAGTATTCAAGTGTGTTATGATTCAAATGTCAATGGTTTTTAATACCTTAACCCTGACATAGACAATTTACAAAACAGAAATGTAAATGACCAATAAACATACAGAATGCTAGTTTAACCTAACTAGTAATCAGAGAAATGTAATAAATCACATGCCATTTTTTTTGCTAATTAGATTGGCAGAGATTAAGAAGAAAATAAAAAGAAATAGCACTCTCATATACCACTGGTAAGTATATAAATCTGTGCAATCTTTCTGAAATGCAATTTAGCAGTATGAATCAAAAGCTCTAAAAAAAAATCACGCCCATTCTGGCTTAATAATTTCATAAGACGTTGCCTCAAGGAAATAATCTGATGAATGAGCAAAAATAAACAAAAATGTTCGGAAAAGGGAAAAATGGAAATAACTCAATGGCCAATATCAGGAAACTGGTGTAAAGTCTGTACATAAAGATATAGATAACATAAAACATCACTTAAAATGATGTTGCAAAGGTATCAAGACAAGAAGAGACATTCATCACAGAGATTAAGCTAAATAGCAGGTTACAAAATAGGATGACCTCATTTTTATTAAAAGATTTATAATGTCTATATATTTTGGTTGATATATATATAAAAGATTTATAATGTCTATATATTTTGGTTGATATATATACACACTTGTGTATATGCCAGATGTCTTCATGGGAGAAATTCTGCTGATAATCTCTAGGCTTATATATATTTCTTTTTTATCTATATTTTCTTTTTCTGTAACGAGTACTACAGCTTAAATATTTTTTGAAAGATTCACTGGCAAGGCAAAAACTTATATCTCAAATTATGTTTCAAATTCTTTGTTGTATACTGGGTGAACCTAAATTAGAACACACCTGCATTTTTATCTAGAAGAGTATCACTGTATACTAGATACTATTTGATAACAATTTTACTCCTGATACAGTGAATATATTGCCAGCTCCTCATCTCTTCCTTTTCCAAAATGATGCACCCTATATGAACAAATTAACAGTTCTGGTAGGGCTGTTAATGTTAGAGGCTCAACTGTGTCATAGCAGCAGAAATGGGCTCATGACCCAGGCCTGGCCACATATGGTATCCCACCTTTCTTCACAGTGTTTAAGCATGTGAGCAAAGCAGGGTCAACCAACGCTCCTACATGGAATGTGAAACATAAATCCTAAAAAAGAAAAGTTCTCCCTCTTCTTCTTAGAAAAGTATTATACGGGCTAAAGGCCATTGTGAACCACATAGAGAGCCAAAAGCTAGAAAGAAGGAGACAGAGCCAGATACCATCATTTGATCCCCCAAATCTGGATGTGTTTGAAAGCCAGAGTACTAGAGACTTTTCAGTGATGTGAGTCAAAATACATTCCACTTCCTGCTTTAAGCTCTTTTATGTTGGGTTTCTATCTCTTGCAACAGAAAGAGGCCTAGTATAGCACAATAAGACAAAAGAAACCCTTCACGAAAAAGCTGTTCATGAGACATGCAAAATGAGAAACAGAAAGATGTAAATATTTGAATATTTAATGATGCCTCCGTAAGAGGACAATCTCTTCCAAATCTGTGAGTCACTTCTCAGCAACAGGTGACACAATTTATCACTCCCTCCTTGAAACAATTTCTTCACTTTCCTTCCAGATCATAAGGATAACTCTGTTTTCTTCCTCTCTTTTCTGGCCTTTTCTTTGAGTCTCCCCTGTTGCTTCTCCTTCTCCCCATCTTTATGTTGGAGAACACCTGTGCTCAGACCTTGGTCCTCACGTATTCTCTATCCATGCGTTCACTAAATAATTTCATGTGGTTCCACTGCTTTAAAATAATTTTAATATGAAATAACTCCAAAATTTCTACCTCCAGCCCTAAGCTACTCCTGAGCTCCAGAGTCACTATCACACTGACCAGCCAGTATCTCCACTTAGATGTTTTTAGGTTCCTCAACTTTACTATGTTCAAAACAGATTTTTTGAGTTTGCCACAAAATCTTGCACCTCTCCAGAGTTCCTCTTCTCATTAAACAGCACAGTCATTTACCCAGTTACACAAGCCAAATACTGAGAAGTCTCCTTTAACTTCTTTCCTTTCCCCATACCCTAAATTACTCAATAAATCCTGATGGCTGTCCCTAAATGATAATGAAACAATCTGCATCTGATTATAGCCACCAAAGCATGTTAAAAAAAAAAAAAAAGATTCTGCCAGGGTTCAAGTCCCGTACCAGCTAGCCATCCCCCAATCCCTCAGAAAAAAGCAAGGTTCTGAATGTAACCCAAAATAAGAAAACAGATATTATAATAAGGCTTTGCTATTTAATTAAAACTTCGAATTATGCATTAATTTCTGCATATCTCATGGATGGCAGCAAGCTTATTCTGAACAATATCTGAGCATACACATTTCCCTGAGTAAATCCAAAAGAAAAAATTAGCCGAAGAAAACAGTGATTTGCTCAATAAGGCCACATAATTCTCCAGTAAATACCAAAACAAATTTATTACAGTACCCAAAAGAGGAGAGGGGTGGGAAACTTTCTGGAGATAAAATTTGCAGCTGTTGAAAAGGAACAACTTGGCACCAATTTACAAGAATGCTACCACGCCCATTAGACTACCGTATTCAATAGCATTAAAGTTTATCTCATACTCTGCATAAACAAAAACAACTATAAATCCATACCAGTAAATTGAATTTGATTAACCATATTTTTGTGAGAAAATATGCATAGGAAAAAGCACAGCTCACTTAAAAAATACTTACATTAAAAAATTTATAAATACTTACATTTTTTGCCATCATGTCAAACTGTATTCTATTTAAGATTCTGTAAAACCATTAAAAACAAACAAAAACAAAATAAAAAAAATTCTTCTTCAACAATTCTTTAAAAGAACATCCTGTTAAAGGGAAAAAGAGGAATAGTAATGTAATAATAATAATAATAGTAGGCAACATTTATGTCATATTTACTATGTGACATGCATTGTTCTTTAAGTGAATTGTCTAAATTAATCCTCACAACACCACTATGAGTTATGTACCATATTAATCCTCATTTTCCAGATAAAAACTGGGGCAAAGAGAAGTTAAGTAGTTTGACCAAGTCCACTCAACTCACAAAAGATGGAGCCTGGGCTCTTGAAATACAGTAGTCCTCCCTTACCCGCAGGAGGTAAGGAGTTAAGGGATAAGGAGACAAGGGAGATAAGGAGATAAGGTCCCAACACCCCCAGTTGATGCCTGAAACCATGGGTAGTACTGAACCCTGTATATGCTGTGTTTTCCTACACATACATATCCCAACACCCCCAGTGGATGCCTGAAACCATGGGTAGTACTGAACCCTGTATATGCTGTGTTTTCCTACACATACATACCTATTATAAAGTTTACAAAGTAGGCACAGTAACAGATTAACAACAATAACTAATAATAAAATAGAACAATTATAACAATGTACTGTAATAAAAGTATAAATGTGGTCTCTCTCTCTTTCTCTCTCTCTCAAAATATCTTATTGTACTAAACTGTACTTAAACTTGTTTTACAACCACGGTTAACTGGGGTAACTGAAACCTTGGAAAGTAAAACAGTGGATGGGGGGACTAATGTATTACACTATACTGCTTTAGATGATCCACTGAAAGAAATGTCAGGGTTTTTCAGAGAAATGGCTGATTCCAGGGGCAGGGTAGGAAATGTACAAGGTAAACCTAGAACATCCTATTGTGCCTATAGTAGGAAAGGGCTCAAAAAATTATGGAGCCAGGTCAAAAGTACACAGGAGCCAGCTTAGAGAGACAATTTGGAACAACTGAGCAACAAATTATATAATGACAATCACAGATTATAAACCCAGTGACTAAAATAATAATCCAGGAGTAATGGGGATAATAAGGAAGAGAGGAACATTCTTTTTTGCAGCAGAATGCCAACTAATAAGTATCAACGAATGACGCAGTTAGTAAACCCTCTATTTTGTAACCATCATAATAACTGATAAGGAAAAAATCATCAATAAATGGTAAACCAGTCAGTGAAAGTGTGCTGAAAAACAGGATATTTAAACAACCTTGAAACATCTCCCAACACCTACTAATTCAAATTTGCCAGTGAAGTAACCTGGCACAAACCACTTTAGCCAAGTGACCAAAATTACCAAATGGTCACCAACAATGGGGCAGACCAACATCATGTGTGTCTTCCAGTGCACCGAGGTGGAAACCGTACCACTTCTGAGGCATTTCTGTTCAATATGCAATATCTAAATCTAATAATGAGGAAACATGAGAGAAATCCAAATTGAGGGATACTCTACAAAGTAATGGCCTAAACTCTTCAAACATGTTAGTGTCGTGAAGGGCAAAGAAAGGCTGAGAAACATTCTAGATTTAAAAAGACTAAAAACATATTAAAATTAAATTTAACATATGATTCAGAGTGGACACTGGACCAGAAAACATAATTGCTGTGAAGACCATGACTGTGGTAACTGAAGATAACGAGGCCCGCAGACTACATAACAGGATTATTTCAATATTACATTTCCAGATTTTGATCAATCAACGTGAGGTTTTCTTAGGAAAAATACAGTAAAATATTTAGTAGTGGAGGGGTATGATGGCAGCAACTTATTCTCAAATGATGAAAAAAATAGATGATTGAAATATATAAAGAAATTGAGAATAAAACATATACGGGAAAATGTTTATAAGTGGTGAATCTGGGTAAAGGGTATTCGGGAGTTCTTTGCCCTGTTTTTGCAACTTTTCTCTTATTTTAAAATTATTTCAAAATTAAAACTTTAATAAGACATTCAAGGGGAAGAATAAAATAAAACATAATTTTGAAATGATCATAAGTAATGGGGGCTTAAAGAAATGGGGGCTTCACAAGTCTGCCTTATATGCTAGAATATGAATCTACAAGTAGAATCTGTGGAAGAAAAACAAAATGTTTTTACTTTCAATAAAATACTAAGTTTGTAATTTTTCAGTGATAAAGAAAACACAAATTTCAAAATTCAAGTAAGACCTGAACTACCACTATTTTTTGCTTTCCCACTATAGCTGCACAATGTCTATTGTGACCTAATCTGAAAATCAAGTTCCTACATTGGATCTGCTTGACGCTTATCAATTATTTCTTATGTCCTCTTCAGTGATATAAATTTAAATATCAGATAAAAGATAAAAAACAAGTTCCTGATATCCCATTCATCAAACTACCTGATATATTCCCTTTAAGGCTAAAATGTAAGTATTGCATTTTGAAAATTAGCATTTAAACCAAGCTTCATTTAACAGATCTATTCAGAACTCTGTATCTAATAGACATGAAAAATCTCTTTGAGCACAAATTTATAAAATTTGTCCACGTATGCTATCACCAAGGAAGTAGCAACAAATTTCAAAGAGGAGATATTATACAGATTATGGTCTCTGACCACAATGCAATCAAATTACCAATCAACTATTTTTAAAATCAGTTAAAAGTATTATATTTAGAAAATAAGAGTACATTATTACCTAAATACTCTATGGATTTGAAATATTTAGGACTGAATGACAGTAAAAAGAAAATAGCAATCAACTATTTTTAAAATCAGTTAAAAGTATTATATTTAGAAAATAAGAGTATTACCTAAATACTCTATGGATTTGAAATATTTAGGACTGAATGACAGTAAAAAGAAAATAAAATATTTAGAACTAAATGACAATGAAAATAATAAAACTGTAAAGTCCTGCTGATCTAGTACTTAGGGGTATATTTGTATTTCTTTTTATTCATTAAGCCACGAATTTAAAAGTTAAAAATAAAGTGGGAATTCAAAGAAACAAGACGAAAAGAAATAAAGGGCATGAAATAGAAAAAATATCAATAAATTAACAAACTGGTTCTGGCATGAAATAGAAAAAAAATCAATAAATTAACAAACTGGTTCTAAGTGTCCTGCTTAAACTAGGCATCTCCTAAATAGAGCAGCAGCCTAGCGGAGTGGAAAGAGCGTAAACCCTGGCTCAGTCTCAGCTCTGACACTTATTAGCTGTGTGATCCTGAACAAGCAGTTTAACTTCTTAGAGATTCAGTGTCTTCATCTGAAAAATAGGTATACTGAGTGTTTCAAAGTTATGTTAGGAAGAAATTAGATAGAATTTGTTAAGGTAAAAATCACCAGATCTGCCAAGCCAATGTGCCAAATGCCCTCCAGTTTATTAATAAATACTGTAAACACTTTTTCCACAGAAAAGTTCAATTGTAAACATTTTAAGATTACCTTATGACATACTGAAATACAGTTGTAACAAAAAATAACGAATTTTTCTTCTACCCAAAGTATGGTTTGAATACGTTAAATTTTAGAAACGTTTTCTATATCCAACACAGACAGTACTGCCTACCCAATATCATTTTCCTGTTCTTTCTTAGAAGTTGACGGTAGCAATGTGCCTAACTAAAAATACTAAATTCTCAGCCTTCCTCCCAGATAGGCTGACCATACAACATATGATCATAATCCTGGCCAATGAAATATAAGCAGACATCTTTGGGGTGGGCTACCAGATTCAGCTAATGTAACCTTTTTTCTCTTCCCTCTATTTTTTTTGTGCCCAGAGCATTGTTCTAATAGTTAGAGCTGCCTGTCTCTCTGCATCTGCTTCATTTCTGTATTCAGTATTCAATATGATATTTTCTAAGGGCGGGGCTGTTGAGAGGCACTGTTATTCATTAAAATAAAAAGAAATAAACAGCACACTACTATTTTAGTACACTATAGTAAGAGGCTACCAATAAAAACACTGCTTAGCTACATGAATGAGTTTTCATTCATGAAAAATACAATTTTGTTTAGTCCTTTGTATCTCCTCACCAGAACTCAGCACAAACTGGAATATGTAAGTGTTACCTTAATGACAAATGTTTGAAATAGAGCCAAAGTGTATAAATTTCTTGAGCAAATCTACCTTAACATCTCTGTGCCTCAATTTCTGAATTAAATGAGTCAATACATGTAAAATTACTAAGACACTGCTTAGCGCAAGGTAAGCATTCAATCACTGTTAGGGGGAAACATTAGTTCACTGATTTCTCACGACAAATGAAGGTTTCCTCCACCAAAATAAATAATACAGAATAATAGAAGTGAAAAAATACCACTACATGAATCCAATTTTAAAACAGGAAAAAAAAATTAATTGTGGTTAAGAAAAGCTCTTCTGAAATTAACAAGAGTAGGCAATAACTTCATTCATTCACGTATGTACTCATTCACCAAATACCAAACAGCCACTATGCACAAGGCATTAATCAGGCACTGGAGACAGCCTAGTATATAAGAGATACTGTAATCAACAAACCTTCAAATGAATTTTAATGAAATAAAATTACATTAAGATAACATTATTTTAAAAAATAGAATTGTGATAGAGACCCTCTTCATTCAATTAAAAATTAAGAAGTATTACTGTATTGGCTTTATAACATTTCAATTTAAAAATATATATTTCTAAGTATTTTTTAAATTTGTCTTTCTTTTACAGTCTTTAATCTAAAAATCATTTGCAATATATGACTTCAGCCTTCAAAAGTTCTAGAAAGTAAATAAACGTGGCATCAAATATTTCAAGAAGTTGCCAACTTTAGCAGTACTGATGATTCTCAGAGATAAGCCAGTCATGTGCACTGATGCATTATGTTTCATCCAGACTCAACAATTGCACACTTCTTCCTGTCACCAAGCTCTTCTGTTAGTTAAAAAAAATAAGTCGGATTTCTTCTTCCAGCTTCATGAACACATTATGTCAAGCTCAAAAAGTCAATCTTTTGACCTCACCATCTGCCATGATCTCTTGTCAGTTTTAGACAATGCAACTTCCCACA